TTGTAATGCATTTTAAAAAAAGAATAGGGTAGATATGTTTTCACTAACCAAGGCAGAAATATTAAGAAGCAACACAAAAAAACTTAGTTGCAGCAAGAACATCTTCTGAAATTTAGTGGCAAATCTAAATGGGTTTATTTAGGTGTATGTGACCAAGATTGTTCTTTGTAGAAAGGATTCTGCTATGGTTGATACATTGTGTCAACTTGAGAAGTTTAGAAGTTTGACTAAGAGACTCAGCAGGGAACCAGGGTCCTTACTTTGTAAATATCCTCAGCCTGTGCAAGAGGAGGGCACAGAGATTTTGTGAGTGCTACACATGCCCTGGGGGTGGGGTGGGAGGTGAGGTTGTGGGGTGGCCTGCTTACAATTTAAGGGAGGAGAAGAGGCTTGCTCTTCCTCTCTTTTGCTCTGGCTGCTGCCTTGAAGTGTTGCCCAAGCTCCATGCCATCCTACCTTGGAGCCAGCTGATTGTGAACTGAAACCTCCACAAACAGTAAGCTAAATAAACCTTCCCTTCTTTCATTTTGGGTGTTGAATAATCAAGTTGGAAGAAGAGTAACCAAGACAGGGACTATAGGAAACCTCCCAAAATTTGCTTCATAGTGTGGAAGGCATAGTTTTATTCCGCCTGCATTCCTGGAATCCAGGTTGGGTACACTGTGCCCATTTCCTTTTGGGAACTGTGGGAGAATCAGGGAAGTTTCTTGTCTCTACATTTACCCTGTGGCTTCATTTACCATTTAGGATGGGAGAGGATGATGTTAATGCAATTGTCAAGACTCTGAGAAGCTAGACAGGAACAAGGCAAAATTGGAAGAATTTTCTATTCCCACAGTACACAGTTTCTAATCCTTGGCTTCCTTTCTTTTTTACTGTGAGAGTTATTTAACACAGAATAATATTTTGAATAGAGAGCAACAATATTCTCTTTAAATCTTCCTTTTGCATTGTGGTAGTTGCCAAATTTCTACAACTAACATGTACATCTTTCATAGAATAAACAAGTTATTTTACTTTTTTTTGACAAAGTCTTGATTTATAATTTAGGCTGGTCTTAAACTCACTGTGTAGCCTAGACTGGCCTTGAATTTACATCAATCCTCCTGCCTCAGCCTCCTGAGTGCTAGGATTACAGGCATGCTCCATCATACCTGGCTGGAGTAAACAAATTATTGGAAATAAAGTCCGATTAAAAATTATAAAAAGTCATTTTAAATTCTACCAGCCTGGTGAAGCAATTTTTCCATTCCTAAGAGTGCTTTGGAACCCCTGCCTATCTCTTTCTAAGAAAGAGAAAGGAAAGGATCAGGAGTGGGCCAGGGTGTGGATGTCCAGGGTATGGCTGCCTCTAACAGCCCAGGAGAAACACAGAATTTTCTAGAAAAGGCTAAGAACACTTTCTAGCTGCTTTTGGAGGGTAATGTGGGTCAGTGCACAAAGGAGCCTATCAGAATTCTTGGGAAGAGCTAATCCTAGGAGACTGTTCTAAGGATGCCAAGGGGTCACTCACTCAGCAAGCTGTGAGCCCCTACTACGTGCCAGAGCTCTGGAATGAGGGGTGACACGGCCTGAGAAAGCGCAGGGCGACTGGAGCTGGACCACCTGGCTTTAAAAGCTGCCCTGTGCTGTGGCCAAGGTATTTAACCTCTATTTCCTTTCCAAGGGCTTTGGGACAAGCTCCATGTGTGAGTGGGTATCTGGTGTTGCTACTGCAATGGCTCTGCACTGAAGGATTTCAGAGTCCAGTGGCTGAAGTGCCCAGGAAGGTGGTGGAAGGAGACGAAGGACCTGCCAGGTTCAGTTTGCTAAAGCCTAGAGGTGTTGGGAAGCTCCCCCTGGGGAAGCCGTGGGCCACGCCAGGCAGAGCCCCAGTATCATCGGCTAGGTCACTGGCTCATAGTGAGCCTTCTCCTGTACTGATGTTATCCTAATGGGCCACAATGGGTGATGAAGACGATTTATCAGCACTCACTGGGACAGGCACTTTTCTAAGTGCTTCGTGTGAATTAACTCACTCAACTGTCCCGGTTGCAGGTCTATTATTATCCTATTTCCAGGTAGAGAAGCTGAGGCAATGGGAGCTAAGATAGGATGTGGTAGAGCTTATCTGAACCCAGATAATCTGTGTCCAAATCAGCCCTTATGTTCCTTGGTCACCTTGCAGTTGTGTATCATCGACATGGACGGCAGAGGTGCTGTGGAAGGCGTGGCCAGGGAAACCTCCCACTTACTTCTGAGGGCATCTTCCTTTGTTGTTTCAGTTGACATTTACGGAGACCATTGCCCTAAGGAGGGAAGAGCGGGGTGCTGAAGGGAAGCCAGGGTGCTCCTGCCCTGCCATGAAGCGCTCGCTTGCCTCTCGGATCTCCCTGGTGCCTAAGGTGTGAGCTCCTGGAATGCACCCTAACTCTCCTGCCGTGGCCTTTTCCCTGCACTACCTTTTCTGCTATAAAGCGATCTCCCAGCTCCACGCTATTCTTGCCCTACCAGGTCTCCTTCATCCTCCTGGCTCTAATTCAGTGGAAGCCTTCTCTGACCTCCTCCTTGAATATTCTCAGTACTTTTCCTGATTCTGTTTTTGTAGTAGGGATTGAACCCAGGGCCTTCACACTGACCTATATCCCAGCCTTTTTAAACAAAATTTTGTTATGTTGAGATCAGGTCTCACTAAGTTGCCCAGGTTAGGCCTGGGACTTGCAGTCCTCCTGCCTCAGTCTCCTGAAGTGCTGGGAGCAGAGATGCACACCCACAGGCTGGGCTCTCGGTGTGGTTTCTTCTTAGTGTTTGACTTAGTTGCACACGTGTTCATGTGATTGATGTCTGCCCTGATTATAAGTTTCATGCTCACAAATAAAAACTACCCCTGAAAGTTTCCCGAGAACAGATAAATATCTGCTTGGCTTCCCTTGAACCCCAGCACCAATCATCTCTGGAGGTAACACACTCTCCGGACACTCAATGAATGAAGAACCTCTGGTGTCTGAAACTGATTGAATGAGAGGACGGGAAATGATGCCAAGCTTTGTCACTGTGCCGAGAGAAGCAGTGTTGCCACTGACCTGAGCATCAGTGTGCCAGGGATGATTAGGAATCCAGCATTATATATATTGATTTGGAGGTGCCGACAGGCCATCAGTTCTTCTAGCCAACCACAGTGAATTTAAAAATCACAGTTTAAGGAGAAAACATAGTAAGCTAGAGAAAAAAAGAGTGAAGAAAGTGTATCAGTAAGAATTAGTTTGTAGACACATAGCAAAAATTCAAAAAGAATAGAGGCTTAAGAAAAATGTTCATTTTTTGAAAATGTTCATTCTTTTGAAAGTAAAATTTTGTAGTGAGGCAGGCGGGGGCTGGCGGAGTGGCTCTGCAGGGCCTGTGATTCATGCTACTCTGAATTGTTGATCTAGGATATGGAGGCAATCCTTAAAGTCCCATCTGGCCCAGTATGGCTGCTGGAGCTCAAGTCATCAAATCTGTCTTCCTGACAGCAGAAAGGAAGAAGAGGGGAGGTGAAATAGACTCCCCTGCAAGTCTAACCCATGTGTATCTCATTGGCTAAGATGTATGAAAAGGATGCATCTTACTTCAAGGAAAGTTGGAAAATGCAGCCTTTTGGGGAGCGTGGGGGGCATTGCTACCTCAAAGGCAGGGATTCTGCTACTAAGAGAGAGAGGGTATCAGATGGCCAGTGGCTCACTCAGCTGTACCAGGCCACAGCCCAGGGGTGAGCCACGGTCTCGAGAGGAACATGAAGATGCATGCAGGGGGAGAGGGCCAGTACCCAGGAACAGGCACGTGAGGTGCAGAGTAGTGTGCAGATTCAGCTGCCTTCTTGCGGGTGGACAGGGTTGACTCGTGGGGCAGAGACACGGCCAGGACCATGGCACAGAGGAGCACATGGCAGGACCTGCGTCAGGTCCCCGCGGCAAGGTGAGGCAAGGCTATGGGGACATTCGTAGCTGCTCTCCCTAAATGCACTTCGCCTGACATGGGTCTGCTGGGCGCGACAGTGCAGTGCCCAGATGACAGTCCAGGATGCCGGAGGCTTGGACTCGAACCCTGGCGCTGTGTCTCTGGGCAGATCCCCGGCTCTGTGGACCTCAGATCCCATCTACATTGTGGGGTAACAGCACAGGGGAGGTCTCTGTACACAGTGCTCATAAATGATTATTTTCAGAGAGCAACAAATAGTTTTGGAAGGACTGAATCAGAGAACCAGTAACATACACAGGTGAGATTAGAGCAGCGAACTTTCCAGGTTCCCGGTTGACTTACAAACTGAAGTGGCACTGCTGACCGCGTCTCATCTGCCCTGGTCTTAAAGGCCATTTCTGTAGCTCTGTATGGTCACCCTGGGGACTCTGAGGACTCGCTGTCCTCCCTGTCAAGTGGGACAGCCACTCTCCACCACGACAGCTGGTCCTGCTCCAAGCACACTGTCCAGCAAAGGATTAGGCAGGTGCCAGCTTTGTCCTTGGTTTAATTTTCCTGCACTCACCAACACAAACCCCCAGAGGACCCCTGTCTCTCTGTGCTACTCCTGCACCAGCCTCCTCTCCCCTTAGCAAGGCAAGATACGTATTTGAGTGATTCCCCAGGACTGTGCTTGGTATTGAGGACCAGGCAAAAGACAGAGCCGTGGACCCTGCCTGAGGTCACTCACAGTATGATAGCAAACACATGCACCTGTTACAAGGCATCCTTGTAAGAGATACACTGTATCTGAATTGTATCTGTACCTGTTCTTTTCCGGTCTTCCTCCTTTCCACTGACATTTTCCCTGTCTCTCTTTTATTATCTGCTCTCTGCTGCTGCAGCCGATTTATGTTGTAATTAGTAATTCCCATGGAATTTTATAAGCTAGCCAGTAGTCGTATGAATGGATTTTCTTATTGTCTTAAAAAAAACACTTCAATTCAATACCAACACTCAAGATAGAATAGCCTTAAATTATCAAATGAAACATGCAAAAATCTGTAAACATTGTAAGTGAGAAGAGCCTCATTAAAATTAATTTATTTTCATTGGGCATAAACTGGGTTCTAGTTTTACTCGGAAACGTGGAATTTATGTCTGCTGTAAAATATGGCACCAAGTCCCACACTGCAGGAGCCAGGGCTCCACGCCAGCTGGAGAGGGAGCTCAGCATTCGCTGCTGTGCAGAGCATTCCTGTTCAGAAGTCCTGAAGTCCTCTCTGCGGTGATCAGAACCTGCCTGCGCCTCCTGGTTCTGCCTTCAGTAAGTGGGGGAGTTTGGGGAAGCCACTTTGCTTCTCTAGGCCTCTGTTTCCCTCCTGCAAAATAAAGAGCTTGGACTGAATCATTTCCAAGTCAACAGTTCTCACACTGAAGGGTACGTGAAAAGTATCAGAACAACTTCAGGAAAATGTGGAGTCCAGGGCACCGTCCTGGAGGCTACATCAGTACCTGGAATTGGCACTTTGAATGAGAACTCAGCCTCAGTGGTTCTCAGTCAGGGAGTCTGAGTATCCCACTTTCAAGAAAGAAGAAGGAAGGGGAAGGGAGAAGGAAAGAAAAAGATGAGGAAGAAGAGGAGGAGGAGGTGAGGACAGAAATAAGAATGCGCTCTCTCTGTGAGGAGACAGGTGTGAAGGTTGAGCGTGTGGCCCCTGGGCCAGAGCTCTTTGCCCTGAGCTCTCTACTCCAAGCTCTGAGCTTTCTGGTCTCACCCAGAAAGCTCAGCCATGGATGGTGCATGAGACCCGTCTCCTTTAAACTGTGAGCATTTCAGAGGTGGCAGCTGCTTTGGTTTGAGGACTTCTTTCCTGGTGCCAGGGGAGCCCCCAGAGGTTCAGTAGTATAATGCTAACACGAGAGGGGAAGGTGAGCTTTCAGTCCTGGAAGAGGGGTCTTTTAGGTTTTCCACCAAGGAGAAAAACTTCCTCAAGCATTTCCCCCTCTGCATCCAAGAGAGGTTGCCTCCAGCTCCTTTCAGTACACATCTGGAGAGAGTAAGTGCGCTTAATTCTCCTGATGAAGTCTTCCTGTTACTGACAAAATTTAGTGATGGGTAGGAATGGGCATTTTATTTGCTTCAGTTAGGAGCTGCTTTGACACAGGAAGTTGAAATAATAGCAAAAGCCCAAATCACTTTGTGGATTTGTCAAGGAGCGGACATTCACACAAAGCCACACCAACAGGCAAGCCCAGTCTGGGAACCAGCGCCTTGTGTGGGCTGCCGCTGGACTGGAACAGACAGCGTGCAGACTGGCAAACAAGAAGTACCACCCCCACCACCCTCGGCCGTAAGCAATCGGCTTATCCAGAGAAACACAGGCTGTGATGATAGCTATGGAAGTGAAATGCAATTGGATGCCTGTGGTGCTTTGGTGTTTCACTGACATTGCAGGTCTAGGGCCAGTGGTCTGATCATAGGCTCAGAGGATAGCATCTAGAGGGGATCTCCTTCTGAGGGTTGCAGCCACTGTTGATTCCCTGTGGTCTTGTTTTGAAGTCCTATAACGTTTCCATTGTTTTGTTGGGTTGGGTTTTATTCTCTTTTGTTTTTGATTATGTCAAATCCGATGGCAGGAGCAGCTATTTCAAAGATAGTAAGACATATTATGGTAGCCATTTTGGATTTATGATTGGCTTGTTTTGAAGTCCTTCATTGCGTTCATTGTTTTGTTTTTATTGTTTCTGTTCTGATTGATTTTTATTACGTTTGAAGTTATCTGCAGCTATTTTGAAGACATCAAAAGGCATTATGGTAACTATTGTTGATTTCATAATGTTCTCTGTCTCTTACACTGGTTTGTTTTGGTTGATTTTATTCTGTTTATCCTCTTTAAAATAAAATAATTAAATTTAAAAAACCCCAAATCACCCTGTGTTGCATTTCTTAGAGGACATGATATTCTCATTGTGTCCTTGGATCAGCAGAAGGGGCTGGCTACTTATCTGGGGTCTCTGGTTAGCTTTCTGTCATTTCAGATCCAAAGTATAGCATTCCACTCCAGGCCCCAAAAGACTCACACCCACCTCACCATGCAAAATGCACTTGGTCACCTCCAAGAGTTCCCCAAATCCTGACAGCTCTACTACTGCTCAAAGGAGATCAAATAAAAAGTTGCCTCTGAGACTTGGGGCAAACTCTGTGAGCCCCCTGTAAAAATGCAAAGAAAACGTTGCACAATTCCGGGGAACCATGGCGCAGGGCCAATATCCCCATTCTAAAAGGGAGGGCCCCACCTGGGCTGGCCCTGCTGGTTGCCGGTGGCTTTCCTCTGTAGTTGTTCCTCATTGCTGGCATCTTGAATTTCTTGGGCTCTTCCCTGCAGCTTCAGCTTCTGCCTTCCAGTTTCATGCATCATCCTGCCGCACTCACAGGCTTTCTCCTGCAATCTCAGTGGAGGTCTTCGTGACCCATTATTCTTGCATCCTACATTCTTGTAAAACCCTGCAGCACGTGGATGACGCCAAGTTTTGCCAGCAGCACAAGTAGAATCCCATTCCTGTGGGAGGAGCTCTTTTGACCCTATCAGTTCCTGAAGGGCCCACTTTCTTATATTATCATTTTCATAATTCAGTTTCAATGTATGAATTTGCAGGAGGAACAAATATTCAAGCAATGTTCTCAGTAATTCACCTACACCAACCCATGTAAACATAGTAATAAGCCTGCTGGAGACATTATTCTGCTCATTTCCCAGAAGCTGAAACACAAAGAAGTTAAGCAACTTGCTGAAGGTCACACATCTACCACCGTGAGCCAGAGAACCAGAATCCCAGGTCAGGGAGTTCTTAACAACCTGGCCATGGTCTCGAGGATATTTCAAGCAGTCTCTCTCAGCTGTGGCCTGTGATCCCAAAGCGCTCTACCATCCCTTCCCACTTTCCCATTTGCATCTTTGTTCCTGGGAAGGCTTGTGGAAGAAGAGCCAAGCCAGGAGGAATGGCTGTTTGGCAATGATTGTGGCAGGCTCAGGGTCATCCAGAAACCCTAAAAAAGCAGACAGCATGGTGGGCACAGGAAATACAGGCACCGCTCGGCAGAGCCTATCAGACCCTCACCCTGCTACAAATATTCATGCAAAGGGAAGAGAAGCTGGGCCACCCAGGCCCATTAACTTCCAAGACAAATGTTTGCAGGGCTGGGGTGCAGCTCAGCTGCAGAGGGTGTGCTTCGCTTGTATGAGGCTTTGGGCTCCATCCCACACCAGAGGGAAAGACAAAGAAAAGGCAAAGGTTTGGGGCATTTTCCATGGAGGGTTGTGCTTTTCCTGCACCAGCGAATGTGCTCTCATTCTCCAGGCGATGAGATGAAAAAGACAGAATGCTTTGTGCATATAAAGTTCCCGCCCGCAGGAGATGACCTGCTTGCTGCAGCGCCAGGCTGAGTCACCACCAGGTTTGCAACCAGTTTGCCTTAGAAAACACACAGGGTGCAGACCCAGCGAATCACCGGTGATTGGCATTTCTGAAACCAGTGTCTGCCCCTGAGTTGTTTTTCTAATCTTTTTTTTTTCCTCTTCCATTTTCTCGGCTTCGGAGCTGTCCAAAGCAGCAGCCTACCCGTCCTCTTCGTGAAGGATCCTTCTTCCTCTACCTTTAGAGTCCTGAGCTCCAGACAGCGCAGAGGCGAGAAATGAGGGCAGGGCTAAAGGGAACATATAAAAAATAAATGAGCCATTCATAAAAATGAGCATTATTACCGCAAGGAGCTGGCTGCCAACATCTCCGCGTTCAGATTAACTCAGCTGCTCTCTGTAACAACGCAGAATTAAGCTGATGTATCATCTCTTCTAGTGGCTGTGGAGCTGATTTACTATTAACTTTAAATAACCAATTGGGAAGCGAGCACTTCGCTTTGCCATCGTTATGATGAAATTTTTGCCCGATTTTACTTATTTATTTATTTAATCATCTAAGCCTCAAAATTGTAAAATAAAATCCAGCCATACTTAATTCACTCTTGCAGCCCGTGCAAGAACCAGATATTCAGGTGTGTAAGGGAGGGGGAGAGAGGGCTGAATTGTACAGCCTCTTGCAGTCATTCCCACCAATCCTAAAAATTGGCTTTTTTGTCCTTAAACTTAGCATATCTTTCCTGGAGACTGGAAGTCCAGGGATGTTGGACTTTGTGGGTGTCTCTCTAAGTGGCCACAGATTGCTTCTTTCTTTTCATGCTGGAAGACACACAGCTCGGACCCCCAGTTCCTCTGACAGCTGTGAGTCCATCTTAGCAGTGACATGAAAGGAGTCTGCAAAGTGCCTTCGAGCTGACAGCTGGAACCGGGGGACCCGGCAGGCACCTGCTTTTTATTTCTTGCTTGGAGTTTTGCTTCTCACAGTCAGGGCTGGACTCTGCCCTCATGGAAGCTGTGACTGTAAAGAAAGGCGGCTGATTTCCGCATGTGGCCCGGGAATGAGTGTCACCGCTTTGCAGCCTCCCCTTGTAAATCTCGACAGGATACAAGCCTGCGTGTGTCCCCTGCGGTTCAGAGAACAATCCACAGAGAAGGCTGACAGGAAGGGCCATTATGGTCACTGATGCTCTCACCATCTGGAATGGTTACAGTTGTCAGGATCTGAGATGACTCACCATGTTGAGGAATCATTTCTCTAATGGCAGCACTAATCAGGAGGGATGCGGCTGTTGCTAAGAGCCCTGCGTGGAGAAAACACCCTGCCAGATGAAAAGCAAGGGCTCTGATTTGTTTTCACCTGCTGAAAATGAAGCGCCTTGGAATGTCACCCTCATTTCCAGCAGGCATCCTTCGCACCAGGAGCTTCTATCTCAGGCCGCCTTCGGGAGTGTCAGGCTGTGTCTGTGTGGACGTGCACTGGGCAATTTGTCCCTCTTCTCTGTGACCAGCTGTGCCCCAGGGATCTTGGGCAATTCTCTTTTTGTACCTTAGCTAGCTGGTGTAGAAAGTGCAAGGTAACTAGACATGGAAGTAATGCCTCACACTGTGCCCTCCCTCTAGCATTTGCCCCAGTGCCGTTCAGTGCAAATCCTAAGCTGGATACCCTACTGTCAGAATCGGCCCTATGCAATGCCCCAGCAGCAGCTGGGTAAAGCGGATGCTGCACTTCAATTGTGTGCTCTTGTATTTGTCGGCTTTCTGTCTCAGTGAAGAAATACCTTTGACAGTCAGCTTCAAAAGAGGAGGGCTGGGTTTGGCTCTTGGCTTCAGAGACTTCAGTCCATGGCGTTTGACCCAGTTGCTCTGGGCCTTCGGAGAGGCAGAGCATCATGGCAGAAAGTGGGCAGCAAGGGAGCTGTTCACATCGCAGCATTCATGAAGCAAAGAGAGAGAGGAAGAGGGTCGGCTTCTGGTATCCCCCTCAAGGGCACATGCCCAGGTGACTTCGTGTCCTCCCACTACATCCTAGCCCGCAAAGATTCGACCTTTTTCCAAGGGCCCCAAAGCTGGATAACCAAAGCTTCGACACTTGGACCTTTGGGGACATTTCAGACCAAAGCCACTCTGCCAGGTACCTGGTGAGCCCTGAGATAGAGCAGGTGGACAGGGCAGGACACCCGCCATCAAAGTGCATACTAAACTTCACCACAGGGCCTCCCCAAATGTAAGAGTAAGGAATTTCACAAGTGTCTTTAGACTAGTGACCCCCCACACACTTTTAGGCATCAGGGACTGGATTTATGGAAGACAATCTTTTTCTTTCTTTCTTTCTTTCTTTCTTTCTTTCTTTCTTTCTTTTGTTTTTTGAGACAAGGCCTCACTACACAGTTCAAGCTGGCTTGGAACTCACTATGTAGCCCAGGCTGGTCTCGAACTCACAACAATCCTCCTGCCTCAGCCTCCCAAATGCTAGGATTACAGGTGTGCACCACCACACCCCCCTGAAAGACAATTTTCTATGAACCGTGGGATGGTGTGGGAAGGAGCTAGCAAGCTGGACCCATCTCATGTACAGTTCACACTAGTGTTCGGCTCCTGTGAGACTCTAATGCTGCTGCAGATCTGACAGGAAGGCAGTGGAGTACAGGGAGTCATTCAAGCAACGTGGAACAGCTGTGAATGTAGCTGAACCTCCGCTTGCCCCTGGTTACTCACCGTCTGCTGTGTGGCCCAGTTCCTAACAGGCCACAGACCCCTACTGGCCTGTGGCCCAGGGACTGGGGACTTCTGTTTTAGAGAAATCGCTGTGAAGCAGCTCGGGGTGGGGGTGGTACTTGCTCAGAGCAGCCCACGGCCCAGGTGGGCAGAGCGCTTCCTTGCCTCGTGTGGACTTGCTGGCGGTTTCCGGAGCCCAGAGTTTTCCATGGTGGAGGCTTCATGGTGTTCAGGTCACCTTGATGGCCGCAAAGGAGCGCGTTCCAGGAAAGCAATGCTCCCTGCAATTTCTGTGTTTTATGGCTGCTGGTCGTCGTGGGCATTTCTTGCTGTGAGGATGCCCTGCTCTGGTCTTTGCCTTCTCTTTTGCATGGCCTTCTCTCTGTGTTTCTGTGCCCCTTCTTCTCCTCCTAAGGACATCTGTCTGTCATTTATCCTTCCCCTGAAGTCAGGATAATCTCATCTCCAGACTCTTAACTATCTCTGCAAAGACCATTTTTCCAAGTGAGATCAGACTCACAGGTACCAACCGTAAGAACTCGAAGATATTTTCAGGGCCTTAATTCAACACTGCTCTGCCTACCATCTGCACACTTCTCCATTCTAGGCTTTTCCAAGAAACCTTATGGTTCTTAAAATGATTTAAATTATATCACTAGAAAGAGTTGCTCCCCTCGGCCCCTCAGTGTGCATGACAAAATTGCCTGCTCCTAGTTGTTTTTACACTGAGTAAATCCAGGTTTTCACAGATTTGATCTTCCAGCCTCGTGGTGTAGGGCTTGACCCTGCTGGGCTGCTTTTGGTGGCAAAGGTTGCAGTTACTTCTGCTCAGTCTAGTGGGCAGATTGAAAACCGCTGAAAACCATTTCCCCAGTACAGGGAAACCAGGATCTGACATTTCCCCTGGAGGTGGTACCTCAGGGTGTCTTTTTCTTTCTTCCTTTTGGGGTACCCTTTTTAGCCATTCTGTGTCCACTGCCATGTGGCAGCTACCTCTTTCGTTCTGCTGATCTTTTTCCCAGCTGCTGTACTTTGGATGTTGAATGCCCCCAAGGCCCGTGTGTTAAATGCTTGATCCCAGCCCAATTGGGAGATCGGTCTTCGGGGAAGGAAGTTAGGCCATCAGGTGTGCTTTAAGGGGTGCACTGGAACTTCAGCCCGTTTTTATCTCTCTCTCTCTGCTTCCCAGCTGCCATGAGGCAAAGCAGGCCAAGTGCTCCTGCCATGATACACTGCGCTGACACAGGTCAGAGCAGCAGGTCCCAGTCACCAACAACTGAAATCTCTAAACTGTGAGTGTAAACACACCCTTTCTTTTCTAAGTTTTTATCCTAGGTTTTGACTGACCCACCACTCTTCCTCTCCCTTACATAGCTGCTTCCCCATTTCAATAGTGTTTCTAAGAATCCTGTGGTAAGAAAACCCAGCCATATTTTCATCCTAACATAAAAGCTTCCAGAGAATTGAAATGTTACCGAACAGACCCAGTGGATCCTCTCAGCTGACCTGTAACTAGTACTACCCGCATTTCACAGTCAACGCAGTACAGGCCGAGGAGGCTGTGTACCTAATGCCAGGTCAACCACCAAGAAGGGAAGGATTGGGATGTAAACCACAAAGCCTAGCTCCAGAGGCCAGGGCCCCACTACTCTCAAACACCTCCCAGCTGGCCCACACAGGGACAAGCCTTGCTGAGGCTGGCAGCCAGAGGTCCATCCCCTGAATCCCAGCATCCCACAGCCCTTCAGGGCCCTGTGCCTTGAGAGTAAAGCTCACCCTCAGAACACACTGAGCCAGGCAAAGACCTAGTACCCTGGCCCGGCAAACTATACCTGGTGTTATGGTTGATACACTGTGTCAGCTTGAGCAGTTTAGAAGTTTAACTGAGACACACAGCAGGGAGCCATGGTTCTCACTTTGTAAATATCCTCAGCCTGTGCAAGAGGAGGGTTCAGAGGTTGTGTGAGTGCTACATCCACCCTGGGTGGGGTTTGTAGCCTGTTGCCCCCTTTTCCTCTGGCTGCTTTTGTTGGATGCTGCCTTGGAGTGCTGCCCCTGTGCCATGCCATCCTACCTTGGCGCCCCCAATTATGGGCTGAAACCTCCACAAACAGTGAGCTAAATAAAACTTTCCTTCCCTAATTTTGGGTATCAAGTGTTTTGTTTCAGCAATCAGAGAAAAATAACCAGGATACCTAGGCTGAGGCTTCAGCATCCTCAGGCTCCTGGGCTGTGCCTCCACACCTCACTCCTGGGCTCCCTGGTGGAGGAGGTGTCCTGCTCCATCCTGTGAGGGGTGGGGAGGAAGAAGAACTCTGTTTGCACAAGAAGACCAGGTTGTCTGCACTATCTGCCAGTCCGTGTCCCCACACTGGGTCTCTGCTGCCCATCAGCCTTTTCTGATCAGCTCCTTCCCTGGGAGTGGACACACACACACATTCACAATCACACTCTCTACTCATTGGGTGTGGGGTCTTACCCCAGGCTCTCAGCCAAAGCCCTGTATAATAATAAAACATCATAATCTTGGCCGTACCCCAAGATCTGTAGATGGGGGAGCAGAAAAGGAAGGGACTCCTCCCATGCTCTCTGAGATGGACAGGGCCACTTCTGATCATGGGAGTGGTCATCTCAACCTCCCTAACGTGTCAACACGGGATCACTCTTACCTCTATCAGCCATTCACTCATTGCTATGGTCAGAGAGAACTTACATTCAAGAAGTGAAAAGGACAAAAAGGAACTGAGTTTATAAGCCCGGTGCAGTGGGGCACCCCTGTAATCACAGCACTGAGGGAGGCTGAGGCAGGAATGTTTGAGTCTCTCTAGGATCCTGTCTCAAAATAAAGAGAGCTGGCGATTCAGCTTAGTGGTAGAAGACCACTGGATTAGATTCCCCAGAACCATTTAAAAAAAGGAACTGCATTTTCAGAGCACGCTTATACTTTCACACCTCACAGTGAGCTCACAGCGTTATTCATTCAGCCTCAAACATTTTGTTTCCTTTTGTCGTTTTTGGTATCAGGAATTGAACTCACAACTTTGCCCTTGCCAGGCAGGCACTGTGCCACTGAGCTCTATCCAGAGCCTCAGAAATTTGGAAAGTGAACCTGATGATGGCACTGGCAGGAAAGTACACTGTTGCCCCCGAGCTGCCTGGACCCCACCTCTCCCGTGACTCAGGGTCACACAGCCAAAGGCACTGGCCTTCCAGTCTGCAGGCATGGCCTTCCAGCTTTGGCCTGCAGGAAGGACTGCAGCAGGCAGCTCAGTGCTGGGTGCGGGGTGTCAGGAAAATCATTCACACTCTGCACAAGACCACAGACCCCACCCCAGCAGAAAAGAAAGTTCTAGGCTTCTGCTTTCAGATGACAGAGCTGGGCCTCAAGATTCCACGGGTAGAGCGAGACTGGGGGTGTTTCGTGACTTCAATTTTGTTTCTTCTTCAAGTAGAGCCCTAATTCTGAGTTTGAAGGAAACACAAATTGCATGTCACATGCTGAAAATAAATTTGCCTTTGGTTTTTTTTTTTTTTTTTTTTTCTGGTACTAGGGATCGAACTCATGACCACGCATTGGCCAGGCAGGCACTTATGCCACTGAGCTAAATCCTCAGCCCCGGTTTTTTTTTAATTTAAAAAAAATTCAAAACAAGCTAATAGGAGAGTAACTATGGTCAATACACTGCAAGTTGTTATCTTTAAACTGGTTACTCAGAGTTTCTGGTTTAAAACAGCAACTTGCCATTGTGATGATGATGTGTTTTAGGGTCAATTTCTTCAAGAGACCAAGAAGATAATGTTGAATATCACACTGAAAACTCACTTTCTCTACGATTTGGAGTTTGGCTGATGTGAAAGCAATGCAGTCAACTCTCAGGCAGCTTCCTGCAGATTCTAGAAAAATATTCAAAAAGGAAAGAAGACTACAGAGTTTTTGAGTTAAGTGTCAGGAAGAAAATTTAGTCTCTCAACTCACAGGTGAGGAGAGAAAAGAGGTTTATTGATAAGTCCGGGAAAAAATCCTCAAGCCCCAAAAAGACCCTCTCCAGGCCCGTGGTAATTCATGTGATGCGGTCACACGGCTGGGGCGTCTGCTGAGCCAGGCTTGCCGCTGGTCTCACCCGAACCGTGTGCTACACCAGACAGACAGTGGCCTCTTTGCATCTTTATGCCTTCCTAGCACTTTTCCAGCTCAGGTAGGTACAGAAATTTGTCACTTTTTGTTTTGAAATGTTTTTTGAAACCTCAGGGGGATGGATTGCGTTAACCACCATGCTCAGTCTCACCAGCATTGGAGGGGGGCCAGTATTTACAGTGCCAGTCCTGGTTTGCTTGCTTTTTCTTCCTTGAGTTTTGTTTGGCTTTATTGCTCATTAAATTCCTCTTAACCTTCTGTCTTCATTTCGGGCTGTCTCCCAAGCCTTAACGAGGAGGGCTGGGCTCGAAGCTCTGTGCTGCCGCATGCAGTGGTGTGGACGTGGCCTTGTCTTTGAAGCCCCTCTGGACCGCATTTCTTCTTTGGCAACACAGAACTCACGAAACAAAGAATCTGAAATGTGATGAGATCTCGGGTGCTGTTTCTCTACACTGAAAATCAGAGAAGTTAAAAGAATTGCCCAAAACTTCCACCTCCCACAGTTGAGCATACAGATGAGTTCATAAGCAAAGGAAATAGTAATGCTTTACGTAATGCTCTGGACTCAGAGTTGCCTTTGGCGAGATATTGAGGCAGATAAAGCCTGTTTGCTTATCTCCAGTTCCGTACTTCTCCCTGAATACCACTCAAATTTGAAGCCATTATTTGCTAGGCGGATTGAAAATGTAGTCACAGTGTGTTTAATATGACTTTCAACCCTACACATGAGGACAGCTGTATCTGGATCACTTTGGAAATGCAGGACAGGAAGTATGGTTAGTTAAGTAACTGTTAGATATATGAAGTTTGCGTGCTCAGCCTTAGCTTTTCACCGCTACAATAGTGCATGATATAATAGTGCCTGGGGAAAATTAGCTAGATGTTGGCAGCTTAGAGAACAACCTCTGGGTGTGACAATCATTCTCTATTCTTCTAGAAGTTTAGTGAGCAGTTGGAAGGCAATCCAATATGAAACAAAGTTAATGTAGAAACTTCAGGTGAATGCAGTGTGATTTTCAAGTATCATTCCTTCAACTCACAGTTCAAAATTGCTGGCCTAAATTCTGGTTTTTTTTTTGAGACAGGGTCTCACTATGTAATTTAGGCTGGCCTTGAACTCATGGTAATCTTTCTACCTCAGCCTCCCAAGTGCTAGGATTACAAGCATGCCCCATGACACCAGTCTGGCCTAAATTCTTAAAACAAACCTAGAAACACATCTTTGTTCAGGGTTGTAAGCAACAGTCTCATTGGCAGGGACTCTTGGTAGATCTGGAAACAGCCTTAGAAACAACTTTAAAAGGAATATTTTCTTGGTCCCAGCATCAGCTGTTTTGAATTGATTGAAGTGGAGTGGGGTCTGGGCATCTGTATTAGTTTGAACTTGCAGGTATTTGACAATCTCTACTGACAGGACTCACTGGTCACTGAGACGTATCAGTGGTCTCAGGCCTTCAGCTGAGTTAGTGGCCAGCAAAGCATTCGAGAGAGTTAGAATCCTGGCAGAGCGGAGGTGGCCCACTCGGAGAGGGATGGTCGGGATGGTCGGGATGGTCTTGTGACAACTGGATTTAGTTCACATCTCTGAACTTTGTGCCTGAAGGGGCTATGCTTGTGACTGTTATGTACATACTTACACACACACAAGTGCAGGTGGGGATGTGACCAATTCACAGGATCGTTTTCAGAGAGTCCTTTGCAGGATAAGGACCCCATCTTCTCCATCCCCGCACTGTTCCTCCACAGCCAGAATCCCTCATTGATCGGCCCCAGTTAGAATGCACAGAGCAAGGGCACCCGATTGACGTGTGCAGTTCAGCAGATCGGACCTCGGGGCACACCAGGGTGCATAATTGGGTTCTCTGAGAAGCATATGTGCATATGTACATGTGGATATTTGAATGTCCAGATTCTTAAGAAGATATGGAGATTTCCTAGATTGGCTTACAGGGCCAAAGCTGGACAAATCCACAAAAGCTGTCCCGAGACTGGAGAGCCAGGGAAACCACTGGCTGCTCCATGCAGGAACCTGGAACCCTCAGGGTAAGAGGGACCAGTAAGAGGGATGTAGTCCTGTCGGAAAGCGAGTCAGCATGCACAGGCTGAAGACTCCGGGGTCTGATGTCCCGGGGAAAGAGCAGCAGTCACAAGCAGTTCTGAGCTCCTGCTCAGAAGAGCAGAGTGGGCCTGCCTGCCCGCTGCCCTCAGCTGCTTTCTGTTCCATCCTGACCCCCAGCCTACTGGATGCCACCACCCACATGTAGGGCAGGTCTTCCGTCCATTCCAGAGACCCACAGACATACGCAAAAGTAAGCTTTCCTGATTTTGTAGGCAGCTCTGAAGCCAGGCAGACTGACAACCAAGATTAGCAATTGCACTGGAGACAAGAGGAAGGTTCAAAGGGAGGAAAGGAAGCTGGCCGCCTTAGGTCTTGTATCCACCGTCTGCTCTCTAGGAAGAACCAGACCCTCTATTCCCTGGAAAAGAGTGGTGCGAGGAAAGCTGAAAGCAGGCGTGTATTCCTCAGGGTATCTGGACACAGCCAGTGGCCACAGTAGCACATTTTCCAACCCAAAATCTTTTAAGTGCCATGATGCTCACTTACATCTTTTGATCTAAAAATCACTCTTCTAGGAATCTGCCTTAAGGAAATAGAGAAGTAGACTAAAAATTACATACAAGACTATTCACTGAAATATCACTTATAACCTCAAAACAACAAGGGATTAAATGATCAGCATGTACAATAGAATAAATGAGCAAGCAGAACACAAACTGAATACATGGCATAACCTCAGTTATGTAAACGGTGCAAAGCATACTGAAACCTTAGTGCTTGCCTTGGATCACAATAGATTTGTTTCTAATTCTAAAGATTTCTTATTTTTCAGCATTTCTATATTGGACATGATTTTCTCTGACAATCAAGAAAAACAAGCAAATGTTTTTTTAAAAACATTCGTGACCACCTTGCACGATAAATCTTGCCAATCCAAAGAACCACAGAATCTGCTTTGCCCTCCTGTAGAAAAGGCATTGATTTACCTGTTGGCTGCCTATTAATTTGAAGGGAAACAGCCAGAGGGAGGACAGCCACCTCCCCTGAAATACTCAGGGTGTGTGGCCGAGGGTGCAGCTTCCTCTGATGGAATATTG